CGCTTCGCGAGTTGATTCGCCCAATCTCGACTCCTGCCGAGACTCGATTGTTTTCGGAGCTTTATGCGAGGCACTCCACCAAATCCTCCACCAACTGGGTGAACATGTGTCACGAGTGGAATCAGAGGGCTGCTCTAACGGTCTCTCAAATTTCGGGGGCAGATAATGCGATCCATCAGAAGAACATCCCTCTTCTGAAAAAGTACGAGAAGGGCTTGGTCAAAGAATTCATTCGGAAAGACTCACTGAACGCGCTTATCGCTCACAATACCGCTTCTTTGCAGCATCCCAACTATGCACCTTCTACCACCATCAACCCGTTCGTTGGTGGCATCCATCCCTACCCGCCCACCTTTGCTCACAGCACTCCGTTCGCACCATTCGCATATCCACCGTTTCCAACGATGCCCATGGGGGCCGGTGTTGCACACCCCTTTTTCCATCCACCAGTCACGGACACGCAAGTTCAGAGTGGCCAGTCGCTCTCTTCTCGACCGGCTAAGAATAATCGAGGCGGCAAAGGAGTCAAAAAGCACTGCAGAAAGCAGCCTGGTTGCGGCTTACCTGTAGGACAGTGCAGGTGCCCAAAAGCATGATCAGTATTCCGGTACAATAAGCAATCTCGTAAGACAGGCCGGGTGTACATCATTTATTGACGGTATTTTATTGCCTGTTACATTAAGTAGCTTGGACCGTGAATTCATTGAAATAGAGGTCTGTTGGATCCCAAAGGAGATCCAATATTTGAGGACAGATCGTATACTTTTAGAAAAGTATTGTGCTTATAAAATTGGTATTATTCAAAGCCGGCCGGCTTGTTTATACTATAGTATCTTCGAATGCATCTTGATATTGTCAGCTTTTTTGCATACCACTGAGTGTGCCATGTCAGTTAGCAACATTATTGCTGTACCGAAAAGCATTAATCAATCAGCTTCTATCATCACGCGTTCATTAATATGAAGTAACCATCATTGATTTATCGCGGCGGCCGGCGGGCCGTGGCGAAATCCTTATGTCCAAGTTCGCATGTTTGGCGCGAGTACGAGCGCGTAAAACTCTGTCAAGCCGGTTCCAGGGGTTCCTTCGGGCCCCCTGGCCCCGGGGCTTCGCCCCGTGAGGCCCCCTGGGGCCGCCTGCGGCGACCCCGACCCCCC